ACTTCATAAGCTAATCAATTATGTGGAAAGAATTATTATTTTTTGTTTTTTTGAACCGGTTTTTACTTTTCAAAGCTTAAACATTTCAAAATGAGGCCTCAGCGTAATTTAAAACTCTAAGGTTTCTCTTGAATTCTACCGAGGTTCCCCTTGCGGCGTGAGCAAATTCCTTTCCTTATTAATTACTTTCGGCGCTTTGTAGGACGCATCCCCTCACCTGTAAAGTTGGAGCATTTTAATTAAATGTTGCATAAAATTTAAACAGTAACTTCGCCTTTGTATTGTAAGAATAGTGTGCTTCTAACTCGTTGCCATGTATCACTTTATTATATAAGTATCTACATAGACTTCACATACCAGTTGTGTTATTAGTACCATGTATTAAACTATACGAAACTTAATTAGTTTTTATATATGGATCATAAATTTAATACTATAATAGTCATGAATTTTCATATGGGTCATACATAATGGGTCAATGTAGATAATTTTCTTGATTCTCTCACCGACACTTTAACTTCACGATCCAACTATGATTATTTTATTTTATTAGACGATTTTAACATCACATCGTCTTAAACCATTTTTGACCTATAATAATTCAAGTAACTGTATTTCAGAACCTACACATTTCACACGAGAGAGTGCAACGTTAATTGACTTAGTTATCACGAATGCACAAACATTTGTTATTACAAAAACATTTGTTAAACAGATTTCCATTTTAAAATACCTAAGATAGCACCAATACCACAAATTACAAGACCTTTTGTATTATCGTCAGTGGTGTGTCTTGCCTAGTGTAGTAGTGTTGGGAGTAGCGGTGCTGGGATTAGTGGTGACGGGGATAGTGCACGCAAATGAGGGAGGGCGGGAGGTGCTCTTCATACTAGGTAAGACACATCATCTTATTTTATAACGCGGACATTTGCGAAGTAAATTTTTCTAAAAGCTTTTATATAATGGATTTCCGCAAAGTAACGCCTGATTCTATTAATTAAATTATAAGACCTATTAAAATATCAATATGCTTGCTTTTCTATCAGATCTCGAAGCTACGAATTGGGACACTATCATAGAATTTAGCTATGTCGATCAAATTTTATCTGAGTTTTCCAAATATATTTTAGAATTATTTGATAAGGATGCTCCTGAGAAATTAGTTACGTTTAAAAAAAAGAACTGTCATGGTTCACCAGCAATGTTTGGTACATGATGCAACTGCGTGGCAGCACTCATAATAAGTATCGCCAAACAAAAGCTGAAAGTGATAAAACTCATTACAAATGTAATCATAATCAGAACCTACATAAAACAAACATTTTTTGTAAAAAGTTAAAATCGGTTGCATTACCTTCATTTAATAATTTGAACAACTTACCAGACCATTTTAATGATCCTGATAAAATTAACCGCCACTTTCTTATATTCCGGACATAAGCAATACTGGTTCGTTTAATTCTACTTTTTTTTTAAAAGTTCTAAATATAGCTCCAACACATTAAAGCTAATGCCAGTTCATGAAAGCGTAATCACAAAAGTTATTATGGCTATCAAGTCGAACGCACAAGGTGTTAATCGAATTAGTTTGGAAATGATACTTTTGGCACTACCACACATGTTAGTGGTTATCACAGCAACATTTGATAGATCTATCACAGACTCAATTTTTCCTTCTTAGTGGAAAATCGCACTAATTCGATCCGTACCAAAAAAGCCAACGCAGTTGATTAAAGCGACCTAAAGCCTATTAGTATTTTAAATTTATTGTAATTAGTTCATTTAATCTTTCTAGCGTTGCATTGCCTGCTTTCCTTTTTTCCGTGCATAGTGTCAGTGACTTATGTAACATAATTTTAAATAATAAAGTAGACCAATTCTTTTCTACGGCGGCAAGGCAGACATGGCAAACGCTCTGTCCTGGTGAAAATGTTCCACTGGAAGTTAACTAACAAAAACAGTGGGATATTTCGTTGGTACGGGACGTGCAGAAAGATTTGTTTCATAATTTCCATATTGACCAAGATAAGGCACGCCTTCTAGCTGTTTCGACTAAGGAATCTAGTTACTGGTTACACGCTTTACCATCAAGTAATCTCCGTACATTACTTGATGGGGAAAGCTTGCGCCATAGGAATCCGACTAGGAGCGGCGCTTTGTCAACCCCATCAGTGCCCCTGTGGTAGCATCGTTGACAAGTTTGGGCTCCACGGACATTCATGTAAGAAAAGCGCTGGTAGGTTTTCATGACACAGTTCTTTGAACGATGTCATCCAAAGGGCTCTTGTCTCTATAAATGTTCCATCGGTTGTAGAGCCATGTGGAATATTTAGAGACGATGGCAGGAGACCCGACGGTATGACATTGGTCCCTTGGGAGAGAGGTAAAGCCCTAGTGTGGGATGCTACTTGCGTGGACACTCTGGCGACCTCTCATCTCAGGGATACCTCGTTTAGAGCCGGGGTAGCATCAGAGGCAGCTGAACTGAGTAAGTGGCGCAAATATGAGTCTCTGAGAGATGACTACATATTTGGGCCATTTGCTGTAGAGACTATCGGTCTGTGGGATCCACGTGCGGTGAAGTTCCTAAAGGAACTCCATCCGCGGCTGGTCGTTGCGGTGATGAGAGGGCTGGTTCTTTTCTCGCTCAAAGGCTAAGTTCCAGCCATTCAGCGGGGAAACGCAGCCAGCGTTCTTGACACGATACCGCGGGAAGTAGAAATATATGATAATTAAGTTCCTATTTTTAGTTTTTTTTTATTATTATAGTTTTTAATATTGTATATAATTAAATTTAATTTTAAATTGTTATATATTTTTTCTAGTATTATTCATAGACACAGTACAATAAACGTTCAAATAGTCGTCAATTTTGTAAGAGTATAATGTAATAATTTTGTAAGAGAGATTTTGTTTGCAGGAGTTGGGTGACACACACACGTACTAAATTATTATTTATATACAAGACTTTTATTTTGCCCTGAATATATGCTCAATGCTATATTATTGCGTATTTTTAAATATTATGACACAAATTTGACATTGAAGAGTTTGGGTTCGCGTCATTTGCTATTTACAAATCTAATTTTACGTGATAGGGTCACGATGCAGTTATAATATTATTGTTGTAGCACGAATGGGTCGGCTCGCCCGGGGGAGTACCACGCTCTCACAGAATAGCAGCGTAAAAAAGCAGCTTAATGATTGTTTCGTATGGTGAGTTTAGAAACCTTTTTTACTGGAAACGCGGCATTTCATCTTAGTCCTTTTTTTTATAGGAGAGGGGGCAAACGAGTATGCGGCTCACCTGATGGTAAGTGACTACCGCCGCCCATGAACAACTGCAACACCAGGGAGGGAATTACAGATGCGTTGCCGGCCTTTTAAAAAGGAGTAGGCTCTTTTCTTGAAGGTCCCTATGTCCTCATGGAACGCATCTGTATTTTTATTGTTAATTGAAGATAAATGTAGATGTCTATAGGCCACAGCATCTACTTACCATCAGGTATACTGTGCGCTCGTTTGTCACCTTTTTTCTTTAAAATAAAATAATTCCTTGTTTACTACGAAAAAGTCGAAGGTTACTTTTGCGTTACCACAACGCTAAAAATTTGTGACAACACTAAACTCACTAGTATAATCGTATACTGATGATTTAATCTCATAGTGTGATGCAATGCCATCACATACGATAATCTAAAAGTAAATATAACAGTTGTTTATTTTCAAACACGTAAATAAATGTTTCCATTGTCCGAGATACATTTGCCGGCTGTAGTTCGAAATCGTTAATCGTCGCTATCGCTAGAGAGCAGTTTTGATTAATTGGTTTATTTCTATTAGCAACTTTCATCGTTCGGCTAATGTTATTGAAACAAACAAGTAAGTAAGAGAAAAGTTTCAGGCTATTAAAGCACAAAGTCTCATTTGGAAGGCCTAATAGAACGAAGCACATTTTCCTAAAAGTTCTTTCATTTTTTATTAAATTAACAATAACATCTTGTAGTACTTTAATGGTATAATGGATTGGCTTTTTTGATAATGGACACGAAAACTTCAAGTTATTGTTTCAGTCAGTATTTCGTTATTTTTATTTGTAACATACAATTTGCGTTATTACTTTATAAGTTTGGATTCGTCTCCTCAGTTGTTTGTCATGAATTAATTATTTATAAAATTTGTAAAAATCATCCTGCCTGATCCTGAAGTAGCACATAGGTACCACGATGACAAATAAAACATGATAAAAGACATGTCTCACCACAATTAGCTTAAATATAATTAATAGAATCAGGCGTTACTTTGCAGAAATCCATTATATAAAAGCTTTTAGAAAAATTTTTACTACGCAAATATCCGCGTTATAAAATAATTTGCAATTGCAATTGAGGGAGGGCGGGAGGTGCTCTTCATATAAGGTAAGACACATCATTTTATTTTATAACGCGGATATTTGCGAAGTAAAATGTTTCTAAAAGCTTTTAAATTAGCTTAAAATTCAGCAATATTTTAAAATCTGACAACACTGTCATCTGAAAATTGGCGGTATTATTATTTCAACTTGCGTCAACATTTTTACCCGAACCTGCACGTACCGCATTGCCATGTGAGCTTCCCTTTAAATTAAATTATATTTTATTTTTGTGTAATAAAAATTTTATCAATTCTTTGAAAAGGATAACATGAACAGAATCATTTTCGATCCCGTAAAACACTCTCACGAATCGAATAGGATTTACTTTAACATGTAGTATATGTTTTACCCGTTGCAAGAACTGCTTTAGTTTTACGAAAGTACGAACATGGTAATTTTATAAAATTTTATATTGCTGATTTGCATTTACCTTTTAAACAATTCACATTTATTATTTTTGAAATGTAGTTCTAATAAAGGGTTCGAAACTAGAAAAACACTCTCAATTTCTTGAAACTTAAAAAAAAAAACTAATTTAAAACGTCTTGTACAATTTTCAGATATCTGGGGCAACTTTAATAATAAAATGCTTTTGCTGTTTTTAATTTCTGCGTTAACATTTGTCACAAGGACATATGAAACCACGAATCAAACATTGTGTGATGGTATTATTTTTCAACAAGTTTACTACGATAAGGAAGTACTAGTAACAAATTTGGGACGGCCATATAATCTCGTTCTGCATAAATACACTGGAGATTTGTTCTTTAGTCACACAATACATACTGGAACTCAAGTGGACTTCGGTATAATGGCATGTCATGTAGATAGCAAAAAGTGTTACCCAGTCGATGGTGTGCCAGGTGGATATGCGATTGGCTATGATTCAGCAAAAGATGATCTTTACTTTGGAGGTCATAATGGAATTTACAAATACAACTTTGTCACTAAAAAAGCAGAGTTCTTTGCTGAAGAGGGTAAATCAATATGGGGTATTTTTGTTAAAAGCAATTTTTACTATATTGAATACCCTACTCAAAGGCTTTACGTTTATCGTAGAAAAAAATTTGTTCAAGTGGCCAAAGCGATCGGCATTGAAATTTTAATTTTTTTTATTTCAAAAAAATTGGAAATATATTTTTCTAATAAAACCGCACTGTATAAAGTAGATAAGGTCAGTAAATTACCTATAGTATTAAACGACGAAATAATTACACGACAAATAGTTGAAGATAATTATGGTGACGTATATTTTTGTGCCGATGACGGTATTTATATAGAAGAAAGTCCATTCCACAGAGTGAAACGAGCAGCTTACATTAATCAAGGATTCGGAATGACTTTTGATGAACATGAACGCATTATATATTCGGATAGAAATAGTATATATATACTGAACCCAAGCAGTGATTCAGAGTTTTGTTATGATAAACTTTTTTATAACAGTAATTAAGGTTAACAATTATGAAAGACAAGAAAAAATTCACAAATAATTTTAGGTATATTAACTGATTTCTAGGAATATGTCAACAATTTTAACCGCTTTAAACTTAGAATGTTTATTGAATCGAGAGGATTTTTAGATACATATTTTGTGGGCCATTCGAATATTTTTTTGCATTCGGGAATCTATTTCACAGTTCGGGTTCAAGTTCAATTTAGGTTCAGTTCACGTTCAGTTCAGTTTTAGTGGCTGTGGTGCTGTACACTGCAGTCACTGCTCCTATTATTAGAGTATTATAAATCAAACAAGAGAAAGTAGGCAAGCACTAGCTAAAATAGTTAAAAATATACATATTTTTATCTATTTTAGCTATTCCGTTCATCAGATAGTGGTAAAACTTTGTCAACTTATTGCGCGAAGGTTATAGGCATAGTACCATTAACTTACAGTAGGTGGCGCGTGTATCGTACCGACAAATTTATTTGAAAGTTATATATCATTAAATTACAATTAATATAATATTAAAATTCCTAGTTAAACAATATAACTCTTTCAAATTTAAAACGATATTTCCACAATTATTTCTTCTGTGGCAGCAACCTGCCGGGAACCAGTCAGTTTTAAATAATAATTATTAAAGTTACCTAAAGAAACATCAACGTTTTATCAAATTTGAAAATATAGACATCGCCTGTTAGACTTCTCAAAGTTATTACTGTTTCGAAGAATACCAATATTAAAATGATAATATATTTTATATATTACTCCAACTCATTGTAAATTTAACAAGACACATACTAAGGAATGTTAAATAATAACCCGTAAATTTGTAGATTATATACGGATGACTTTATTGTGCATAATATTGAATGTTATACACTGTTAAACACATTCATTCATAAGTGAATAATTTAAAACAATAAAGCACAATTACAATATAGACTACAGTCCAATGTGTTTTGAGAATTGTTCATTTATTTTATCAACATCCCATCAATAACATTAAGACCATTTTATGTTATGCGTTTGAACAGTTGAATCATGCGTAAAAAATTACGAAAATTTTAAATATTTAAGTGATGATAGTGTAGTGAAAGTGATAGCAATATCAAATAGGTATGTATCTATTTATAACAAAATAAGTGTTTTGTTACATGGAACTCTAAACATATTTATTTAAGTATTTAATATATTTTATTTTCGGATAATCGTTATTTACAGATTATAAAACTATTCAGTTATCGGTTTTTATTTTTAATATATCTTGTACTAATAAATATTATTTATCTCTTAATTTTTTAACTAAGCAAATTGATAACGACTGGTTATTTGGGTATATCTGTGGATGAATGTTTGTTTGTATTTTAATATTATTTTGCAATGAAATAAATTTATATTTTAATTTTTAATATTTTTTCTTTTTGAAACTGAACAAATATATACCTTAACCTTAATAGAAAAAGAATCTAAAAACCTGTGTTAAAAAGAGCAGATATTAATAACAGCATTGTATATTACAGATAATGACTTTAAAATTATATATTATGCTTAACGCACTCGCTTGCATACAAGGCCTACCTAATAAAACTTGCGATCGCGTTAAAATTCAAGACCGGTGGTATGAGATGGAGATCATCTGGGCAAATTTCGGCAGACCCTTCAACCTTTACGCGCATAAAACGACGAACACTGTGTTCTTTAGCTATACAGTGCCTGAAACATATTCCGATGTTGATTTCCAATTAGCTTTCATAGATATGGATACAAAAGAGTTCCAAAATATAGCGGGGATTAGAGGGGGGTGTTCCGTGGCGATAGATCACGTTAATGAAGACATTTATTTAGGTGGAAGTGATGGAATTTACAAATACAATATGATGACCAAATTAGCAGACTTCTATAAAGAAGCTGGAAAAAATATCTGGGCACTGTTTTTTAGAAGAAACTTATTCTACATTAGTTATCCAGATCAAAAATTGCATATAGAAATAGACGGAAAATTTGCAATAGTCAAAGAATTTGAAAGTTTTGAAGTTGATCAATTTCATGTGACAACTGACAGTGAGGACATATACTTCGCCAATAAAACGGGATTCTACAAATATGATAATGCTAGACTGAAAGTTAATGTTATTAATGATGTGATTACAGTGAGACAGATAGCTGAAGACAACGATGGAGATCTGTACGTATGTACAAATTTAGGGGTTTTTATTGACTTGAAAAATGAAGGATTTAAAAAGGTGTTAGATTTTAAAAACATCTACAGTTTGACGTTCGATAAGGACAACAACGTCATTATTTCTGATGAGAAAAGAATAATTAAACTGATACACACTATGACTGGTTGTCCTGATACTCGTAATGTTGACTTACACTGATGAGCACTGTCTTTATTGTTATTTGAAATTTATGTTTAAAATGAAATAAACTTTTCAAAAACTAGGATTTTTTATTTCAAATGACAAATGAGCGCGCATTCCACCTAATGGTGAGTAGTTCTGTAGACATTTGCAACCAACTTCAAACAGGAAATGTAATGTAATCATATCTAGAGACTAAGACTCCTTGTTCATAATCAGCCTGTAAACAATTACTACTGTCCTTATAAACTTATTGAAACTGACATATATCTACTGGACGCTTGCTAGTTGAACTACCTTGCTGCCATTAATGCGTCTTGGCGCACGTCACAACCATACATAAAAAAAGGAATTTCATAAGTTCTTTGGTTGACTGAATCACACTTCACAATTTTTTTAAATCAAAACTAAAAAAGTTGGTTGCGACTACAGCTCCCCGAACTATCCCTGACCCTTCTTATTTCTTCCAAATGAAAGAATTCCCACAACTCTTTTTCTACCCTGTTCATGCAATATCTTCTATTTCTACCATATCTTTCTCAGATTTTTCAGTAAAACAAAGGAAAATATTTGTTTCTCATAATATCGTTAAAATTACAAAAGACCACTCTTATGAAAATACTAGCAATAATCATTTTAACCAACTTTCTCTTGAACAAACCTCACTTAGTTATACATTAGTAGTCACTTTGAATTCAAGTGTTATTTACTCAAAGATTCACTTTATATAGATCATCATCATTATGAAATATAAATATATCAATAGTGAATGTGGATCTCTCTTATAGTTAAGAGAATAAAGCTGCAGTCTGCGAACACGATCAGGGTCCATCTCGTCTTTACTTCAGATTTGGTAGATTAAATAAAACCTGTATAGTTTAATTTACTGTTTGTAGGAATGTTTATTCAAGTAAAAATAAAATTCAATAGTTTTTAAGATTAAACAATCATAATTTATATACAAGTCTTTCACAACAACACAGAAGGAGAATAGAGTGAGAAGTATAAGCATAAAAATAGTTAATTGACAGCAAATATAAAGTTTGTAAAGATAGCACAAATATAAGAACTCTTACGTGAACTTATTACTACAACAGCAATCTCTTATCCGAATACATAGTCGAACAGTATGGCATACGACAGCGTCTTGTGCCGACCGCCGCATTAGAACAATAGCCACTGCTAATATATAAGTATTATATCTATATATATATATATATATATATATATATATATATTATGCTGTACATAAGTACATATAATTTTTTTTGTAGTACTCTATATCTACTACTCTAATCTGTTTGTAATTATGATATTTATATTTATGTACAAATTATTTAAATTTAAACATGATATGTAATGAAGCAATTTAAAGTTGGTTATAAATTACTTAAATTATATAATATTAATATTTTGTATACGACACTTACAAAAAAATTATTTCTTAAAGTGATAATAGGTGATGCTATTGAAATGTAAAAAATATCTTTGGCGTAGATCGAACCAACAGTTAATTGTGGCGGCGCTGTCGTCGCGCCACAAGCGAAACACATCGAAGCCTAAATCGCACTAACAAAGTTCCGAAGTTAAAGCCCCATACATAGAATAGCTCTGAAGTACCACTCGGAGCGTTGGCCGCTCACCGGACAGAACACCTTGCCCGGTGGGAGATCTCCCCTTTTCCATCCACTATAAAAATAAGAAAATTGAACGAGATAACATTTGAACAAAAATAGCTGCAATTAATGTGTTCTTTTAATAAAGTCATCAAAGATATTTGTAATTCATATGATTAAAATTGCCAAATTTTAAATTTTAAATTCGCAGCGCTATCACGAGAGACCGTTAAAAATAAATTCATTGCAACATTTAAACGCCAGTAGAGAGAATTAATTATGCATGAACAAGTGGACATACGGCAGTAGCGCAAATTATATTTTAAAATTATATGTCCTTAGTCACTAAAATTCTCTTATAGCCTAGCCAGTCAGTGATGTAATTATACATTTTTATTAATAGATTACCGTGTAGTGAAGGTGTAAGAATATCCACATTGATATGTGGATATTCTTACACATTCCGTGGATGTCGTAAGAGGCGACAGAGGGAAATGGAAGATGTGCAGCTGCGTCTTCCTATTAACGAATAAAATAAAAAGCTGCGGTGGCCAATCCGCTTGCCGGGCGTGGCAACTATGGCAAATATCCTCCTATGGGGCGGCCTATGTTCAGCAATGGACTTTAATAGGCTGTAATGGATGGATTTATAGAAGATAATATACCAGGAGTACATGACCCACTGAGAGGTGAACTATGTCAATCTATGGGGCAATCTATGTGGGAAGCCTATGTTCAGCAGTGGATTTTAATAGGCTGTAATGGTTGGATGTATAGAAGATAATATACCAGGAGTACATGACCCACTGAGAGGTGAACTATGTCAATCTATGTGGAAGGCCTATGTTCAGCAGTGGACTTTAATAGGCTGTAATGGATGGATGTATAGAAGATAATATACCAGGAGTACATGACCCACTGAGAGGTGAACTATGTCAATCTATGGGGCAATCCATGTGGGAGGCCCATGTTCATTAGTGGACTTTAATAGGCTGTAACGGTAACGTATATAGTAAGTATAAGGGGCATCGTAAGGAAATTTCATAAAAATCTCTTTCTTCTTCTTTCTTCTTTACGCCAGACGTAAAATACTTAGACCGATGATAAGAAGCAGTGTCAAACGTCATCTGGTATTTCGATTATCATTCCGGCTAGTAAGCGTAGGAATCGTGACAAATCCTCCCACAAAAGGGAGAGTCGATACCCAGTTGTAAACTTTAAGTCTCATGAAGACGATGAAAAAGATCTCTCACTGCATATAGGACATCGGTTTAAGTTGTGAAGGTTGTTATTTTTTTAAACGATTGCTACTTGACTTAATACTTATATGCTACTATAAGTAGGGGATTCAAGTAGTGAAGCAAAACTGAAGATGTATTACGGTGGTGGTAAGAATGGGTCAGCTTGGCCGGGGAAGGAACACGCTCTAACGGAATACCAGCTATATTTTGTATGGTGAGTGAAGAACACCGGAGACCCTTTTAACTGGAAACGAGGCATTCCATCTTAGTCCTCAGCGGTGACAACGCATCTGCATTTTAATTCTTAATCGAGGATAAATATAGATGTCTATGGGCTACAGCATCTACTTGCCATCAGGTGGACTGTGTGCTCGTATATCACCCTAATCTATAAAAAAATGTATGTAACGGGAACGTCCCGTGGCTTTTATAAGAGGCATCAAGGTATTATATATTTCATTAGAATCGTATCACGTCCAACATATATTACCACCCTGTTTAAGCCAGACGTAAAATACCGAGGGAGGTAGCAATGTCGACAATGGGACAACCTATATTATCCAGCTGTAGAATTCAGGCTGATGAGGAAAATAAAGAAGATGATTAGTCACTGCACATAAGATATTGTTTTAAGTCGTGAAGCGTGTTATTTTTTTAAATAATTGTTACTTGACTGAATCTATACAAATATATAAGATTGAAGTGTCTACTACGAGTACGATACTTATAACTAAAAACAATTTTTAAAATGGCTGATGAAGCTGATGTTATAAGGAAAAACTTAGACTACTTTTATTTTTGAAAAGGAAGAAGGGTTCCGCGCAAGAAAAATAAAAGCCATGAAATCCAAACGTAGTAAATTCCACGCGGGCGAAGTCGCGGGCGACATCTAGTCCAGTAATGATTGAGAGGCACTGGCACAAAATATGACTATGGAGTTACGTATTTAGGATTCAATTTCAATGCCGGCTCCGTGGTGCAGTGGCTTAGCAATGAGTTGTTGCGCTGAGGGTCGCGGGTTCGAATCCCGCACGGAACAAGTATTTGTATGGCCTACAAATAATTGTTCCGGGTCTGGATGTTTGTCCTCGAGCAATATATGTTTGTAAAGTGCCTCCACGATACAGGAGAAAATCCTAGTGTGGGGTTAACGTTTTTACCAAAAAAAAAATGCCGGGTCATTATTTTTATTTTTCATTATTTTTCAAGTGACAGTAGCCTAGTGATTAAGTATGCGGACTGTCGTTAAGTCGTGGACTCGAATCGAAACGGCAAGTAACTTATAGTCTAGTATTCTGTGCTTAGGTTAGGTTAGGTACGGTGATTTTTCGTTTTTGCACGACGATCCTTTCCTGAATGCGCGTGCGATAACGGTAACGTCCAATCAGCAAGTTTCTTACATTTATGTTTGATAATAATAGAATCAGGTATTACTATGTGGAAACCCATTATATTAAAATTGGAAAAATTTACTTTGCCTATATCCACTCAATAAAATATGTTTTTATTTAAAAAACCATACACACACACTAGGATTTTCTACTGTATCGTAGAGGCAGTTTACAAACATAAATTTGACAAGGATAAACATCCAGACCCGGAGCAATTATTTGCAGACCATACTCTACACCGTTACCGCTAACCGCAGCACCACTACTACCAACACCACTACACTAGGAAAGACACACCACTGACGACAATACGACACGTGTTTCACCCCTACACGAGGCATCCTCAGGTTTAGTAGACTCTGCGGTTGATCGCTAAACGGTAAATTAAATATTTTCAACTTTATTATTTGTATTTGATCCAAGTTTGTGAGCACTATATATCTGCTTTTTTGTACAAATGAAATTGAGATACTCAAGTGCAATCGAATTTGTAAACGTGTGCACCCTACAAAGGTTTACTGGTTTGATAGAATCTAGTTTAAAGTTGACTGTCTTATTATTATATATCGTAAATTTTCTCTCTCATTTTTTTATAGAATAAGGGTCACAAACGAGCACACAGACTACTCGATGGTAAGTGGTTGCTGTGGTCCATAGACATCTACATCTATCTTCGTTTGCGAATGAAAATGCAGATGCGTTGTCAGCAATGAGGACTAAGATGGAATGCCTCTTTTTCAGTAAATAGGGTCTCCGGTTCTCTACACTCA